ACAGAGGTCCGACAGCCCCATGCCCAGCTCCTCGGCATTGAGGTGCGCAAAGATGCTGCTCGCCGCTGCATTCTCCTGCGCCGCTCGGAGCCGCTGCTGCAGCACCCACGCCGCGCCACGAATCTTCACTCGAAAAAGGACTCGATGTTCTCGACGGAGGCGAGCCAGTCCTCCTCTGTCATGGCGGTCTGGTGCTTGAGCAGGATGAAGCCGTGCTTGGCGAAGAAGTCGGGGGCGCTCATGCCCTGCTCTTCCATCTCCTGGCGCTGCAGCTGGCGCGCGTCGCCCACCCTGAGCCTGGTCTTGGCGTACCCCTGCCGGATCGTCCGGAAGGTCTCGATGACGTGCCCATTACCAAGGAAGCGCAGGAAATCCCTGACCTTCCAGGTCGTGAGCCAGCGCGAGTCCTGAATCACATGGCTGGCACTTGTCGCCGGGTAGAACCCAGAGAGCTCCGCCGTGACGACGCTCGTCTCTGTGAGTGCTGCGCTGGTCCCCACGCTGTTGAGCTCGGCTTTTGTCAGGTCCTTCGCTGACGCCTTTGTCGCCGCGGCAGTCCAGTGCTCGCTCGACCGGGAGTCGCGGATGCGACGTGGTGATGAGAGCAGGGACCACAGCCGCTTCAGCAACGGGATGCTGAGCAGCAGGGTCGACGCCAGCAGCGTGCGCTGCGAGCGGAGGACGAAGGAGGAGAGCACGGAGGACATCGAAAAAGCGACGCGTCCCGACTTCAGCTGTGGTTTAGTCGATATAAGGTCAAGGACGGAGATCGATGAGACGCTCCCGCCACGGACAAACTCTTCCTTTTCGTTTAGCGACACGAAAACAAAAGGAGTTGCCCTTATCTACATGTAAGATATGGGGGTCCTCATGCCAGCTGCTCACGCCCGGGTATTCTCTTCATGTATGTATACACATCTGACATCTCTCCAATTCCCTCTAGCTCTAATTAGAGAACAAAAAAGAGTTTTAAATAAAGAAAGAAAACACATGCGCGTTTTCTTGATGCTTAAATTTGCGGCCGCGGACTCGGCTCCGCTATGATGTCTCCTGATTTCCCGCCGCCCTCGCCGCCGCCTCCGCCGCCGGACCCGGCGACTCCTGGCTGGTACTACCCGCTGATATTGCTGCTCGTCTGCTCTTCGGCGATGTTCTCGGGTCTGACGCTCGGGTGACGCCGCCGACCGCCCGCGTCGCCCGCGCCCGCTCCTCGGCCGCGCGGCGCCAGACGCGCCACCACCCTGCCCTGCCATTCGGCGCAGGCTCATGTCCCTGGATGAGTCGCAGCTGCTGCTCATCGTCGCCGGCGACGACCCGCGAGCGCGCATGCACGCCGAGCGGATCCTGCCCATCCGGCGGCGCGGGAACCTGCTGCTCTGCACGCTGCTGCTGGGGAACACGCTGGGCAACTCGATGCTCGCCATCCTGATGGCCGACGTCTCGTGGCTCTCCGGCGTGGGCGGCGTCGTCGGCTC